TCTGATTATATGATTTGAGCTCATCTTTATAACTCTCAGAGCATAGTTCATACAGGCCTTTTCAAATCTAATAGCAGAAGAAGAAATTGAAGCTTCAATTTTCATTGCTTTAATAGGAGATGATTTGAATGCTTTCAGAATTCTTCTCAAGGCTCTGTTTTGCAGACTTTGAAAGAGTTCAGTGAAATTCTCTTGATTATTTTATCAAACTTAAACTTCATAATCAGCTACTGATGTAATACAGGCTATATATAACTGTCTCATAGCCTGAAAGAATAGACCTCTCTCTGTATTTGATAGTCTGATTATGTTATTCAATAGTCTTTCTGCCTTGACAGTTCTTTGTTGAATGTGATATTTAAAATTCAACTTGAAGTTTAATCATACTTCTAATCATTTGACATTTACACTGGGTTTAATCTCTCTATTTAAAAGAGTTAGAGATAGTTCTTTCTCATTGAATCTAGAAAAGAAATGAATTAACTCAGTTTTATTCATATTAAATTGAATTTGATTGATATCTGCTCTAACAAAGATTTCCTTTGCAGCTTCTTCAATCACTTTCAAATTCTCTTTAATAGTTTTTGAGCTGTAGACTAGATCAATATCATTCACATAACTCAGAGACCACACTATTCTCATACTTCTATTTTTAAATAGATATGCAGTGTATATTGCAAATAAAATGAGCAAGATTGAAGATCCCTGTGATACTTCTATTTTTATCTCAGTCTTGTCTTGTTTCATTCCATCAAAGAAGAGTTGTATACTTCTTTTAGACATAAAACAGTTAACTCATTTTATTAGAGAAAGTGGCAGTTTTAATATCTTTAATATCTGAATTAACTTTGACTTTGAAACATGATCAAATGCTTCTTTTATATCAATAAAAACTGCAGTTGAGACCAGACTCTCATGCTTTGCTATTTGAATATCATGAATAACTGAGAGAACAGTGTCAATTGCAGAACACTGTTTTCTATCTCTCATTTATTCACTGAATAAAAGAGAATCATCTATAGAGCTTATAAAAGATAGTTGAGTAGCTATTATCTTTTCTAAAACCTTTCCTAGGCAGTTCAATAGAGATATTACTCTATATGACTTAGAAATTGAAATTTTTCTATTAGGTTTTGCAAGAATCACTCCAGTGACTTCTCTCCAGCATTCAGAATGATATCCATTTTTCAAGAGATTGAAAAAGAGCTCAAAATATTCATTCTTTAAGTAGGAATATGTATTCTGAATAATCAAGTGATTAATTGAATCAGAATCTGCAGCAGTTTTAACAGAACTTGAGAAGATAGCTGACTCTAATTCATCTTGTGTAAGATCAGGTCATTCTCAGTCATTTTCATCAATGTAGTTGAGAAGTAATATATTCTCTTCCTCTGAATCTGAATCTGAATCTGAATCTGAATCTGATGAGTTCTGAAAGAGAATTCTCATGAAAGCTTGACATTTTTCCTCAAAAGAGTTTGCTGTATATGATTCATTCTGAAACTCATATTCTAAGGCTGGAAGTTTTGCTACACTTCTTGTTTTAGTATAGTTAAAAGCTTTAAAAACTTCCTTCTCTTATGCTTCTTCAAGAAATTTATTCCAGCAGTCTGTTTTAGCTCTTTTAATATCTGAAAAATATTCATTTCTGACAGCTTTGAACTCTTCATCAGATATTACATCATTCTTTCAATCTCTTCTAGCAGTAGCTAATTCTTTCCTTTTAGATGAGATATTCTCATTTTATCAAGGTTTTGAATACTCAGAAGATTTTCTCTTTGAAATATTATCTCTAACACTTGTTAGAATAATAGATGTAATAAGCTTCACTCTATTCTTAAGCATTTCATTTGAGATATCTTGATCAGAATTTCAATATAGCTCATTCTGTCTCTCAGATTTTAACAGTTTTATGCTTTCTTCAACTGCTTTTCAATCAGCTTTTTCAAAGTTATACTGATTAGAGAGAAGAGGATTTTCACTCATTTGTTTTTCACTCAGTTCAATATCAAATTGAATAATCTCATGACCTGATCCTGATGTCTCATTTAAATTAATAAACCAGTTTACAAGTCTTCTTTTCATTAGATTTTATGATATGAAGATTAGATCTATAATAGACTTCTGTTTCATGTCTTTTCTAAAGAATGTTTGTTGATCAGACTTATTAATCAAATCTATTGAATGCTCAAAGATTTATTCAATTAGATTATCAGCTCTTACTGCTCTCTTACATTCTGAATTTCATCAGAGATGATGTGTATTGAAGTCTTCTACAATTATAGAGTTTCTTGATAAAGTTATGTTCAGAAATCCTCTATCAATTGTTCAGATATTGTTATATTTCTTCAATGACTTTTCATTATAGATATTTATGAGCTGTATAGTATTAAACTCATTTTCTTTATCTATAATGTCACTCACCAGAATATCAGGGTCAGACATGATATCAAATCTTAGATTAAATTGATATCTTGATCTCTTTCTTTCATAGATTACTACTCTTGACTTTATCTCAGACTTTTGAGGTAAAAAGCAGTAGTAGCTTGAGTGAGAAATGACATATTTTTGCTCAGCATCAAAATTCAGCTCCTGAAGCAGTATAAAATCAACTTTTTATTCAAATACAATTTGAAGACAAGAATAAATGCAATTTGAGTTTCTATTCACATTATTTTGAATAAATGTGATTTTTGAAGAGTTTTTAAACTTTTTTTATTATTTTTATTGTATATTTATACTAAAAGAGAGTAGAGTAGAATCTAATCACTATCATCAGATAGTAGATTATAACTGTTCTGAAAAGTAGAAATCTCAACTGCTTGCATTATATCTAGTTTATCATCAGAGTCATTTCTCAATTCTCTAATCTTAACAGAAGTTTGAGAATTCAAATTCTATTTACATTTCACTGAAGAATTGAAGTTTGAAGACTTAGATAATTGAGAGTTTCTTCTTTTTGAGCTTGCAGTTGTGAGTTTACTGGCTTGACTATTCTCTTCAGTTCTAGGTTTACTCTGAGCTTCATCTTTTCTCCAGTTCTTTTGAGTTCTTGGAGCAAACATACATTCTTTTGAGCTAGATGCATGTTTTTCTTTGCAATTAGAGCATTTAAGCAGAGTGTGTTGACATATTTCATCTCTTTTTGAGCATGTTTCACATTTATGCTCACTAGTTTTATGATCTCTGGCACAGAATGCACATTTTGAGTCTCTGAAACAGAAGATTGCAAAGTGTTCATATCTTTGACAGTTTGAACACTGTGTTTGAGTTTTGAGATTCATTCTTGAGTCTTTATATTCATGAACTCTCATTTTCAAACCTGCTACTCTTACTTCAGAGATTCTTTAACTATTTTATTGTCTTTATATATACTAGAACAGAGACATTTCTTCTGCTTTGTCTGAACTCAATTGAATTTAGTCATATAGACTTCTTTCTCAGTTGAATAGAGTTGTATTCTTCTAATTCATTTTTGAGAAGTAGCATTTCTTCTTCACAGTCAAAAATTTCAACTGAAATATCATGAAGAATGAATTTGTCTCACTTTTCATCTCTCTCAGATAGAATTATTGTGTTTAACAAAGATTCTACTGCTGATCTTCAGAGATTCTCATTCTGAATAAGGAATTCAGCACTGAATTCAGGCATTGTAGTCAGAATGATGGAGTTTTCAAAGAAGAATGACTCAATTGAAGCTATAACTGGTTTTTGAACTTCAATATCAGTCATTAACTGAGAAAAGAACTGCTGATTAATTTCATTTCTAATTCTGAAAATGAGGTTTGAGCTTAGCTTATTTCTCTGCAATATGTTCTGATTTGAGACTTTGAGAATAAGTCTTCTATCTCTGAAGATTTGAAGATTTTTCTCTTTTTACATTTTTTTCTTCACTCTTCTATCACTAGAAGTATGAGCAGTATTCTTCTCAGTTTTCTCAGAATTTTGAGCAGATTTTGAGATAGCAGATTTAGAGACAGCAGGTTTAGAGGCAGCAGATTCAGCTGCTTGAGCATATATTTTCTTCTGATTTAAAGAAGAAGAAGAAGAAGAAGTAGAAAAGAAAGCAGAGTAAACTGAAGAGTCAGTGATTGTATTAGAAATTTTCAAAGTTTTTTGAACTGTGTTTGAAATTCCAAGTTTGAACTTGATCATTTCCTGTAGTTGTCTAGCCTGAGTATGAAGAATTAACAGAACTTCTTCATTCATCTCACTCAGACACTGCTTTTCAAGAATTTTACTTGCTTTTTCAAGTTTCTGTATTTCAAGAACTTGTTGTTTCTCTATTTCTTCTTTCTTTCTTCTCTTCAGAATTTCAATCTCAGGAATAGCATTTGAGAAAGCATCTTTTTCCACATCAACTGAGTGTACTTTTGAACTCATTGTTCTTACTCAATGAAAAGTTGATCAGACTAATTCAATTGAGATATTTATTAAACTCTTTTGAATTGAAAAGTTGATCAGACTGTTTCAATTAAGAGATTTCTAAGTCTGTTTTCAATTGAAAAGTTGATCAGACTATTTCAAAAGAAGAATAGCAGACTTTTGTGTATAAAACACCTGATTTTTTTCACACTAGTTCAGTAACTAGGTTAGATTTTTGAAGAGAATCTAATAAACTAAAATTGATTTTTAAGATAAATCAATAAAATCTTTACAATCTCTTTCTTGGGATACAGTGAGAAAAAGTATGATATCAATTGATAGTAAATCAGATGATATGACAGTTTTTGAGAGAAAAACTGACAAAAAATAAATTAATTTTTTGCAGAGAAATTGATTAAAACTATTCAATTTTATTCTAAATTATTCAATTCTTCTCACACAACAAGTGTGCAACTCAAATCAGTTAATAAAGAGTGTAAAAAAGAATTAAGTATTAATAAAAGCTCTTCAGCCACTGAAAAAGTAATTCTTATTTAAAAGAATATGAAATTATGACAGAAAACAACTCTGTTTTTAATTCTTTATAAGAATATTGTGTAAAATCCAGAGAAAAACATCTTACTTTTTCAAGAGAAGTAAAAAACTATTTCTAAGATCTTTTTTTTTTTGCATTAACTGCTGCAGAAGAATGAGATAGAAACTGCTAAGATATGCACTACTGTATACTCTCTATCAAGACTTTCCCTCTTCAGAGTCTTGATATTATAGAGAATATAAGTCTGTTTCTATATAATAATGTAAATATTGTCAGCAGGATGTAGAGAAACTGGTTATTTATATCTCAAAATAGAAGACTTTGTCAATGATTATATCAATATAGAGTTAATTCTCAAATTCAATAGAAATCTAGTGTTGCTGTTCTCAATCCCTTGCAGAATCTATTGAATATTGAGGTATTAAAACTAGATTTAATATATCTCACTGTGCAGGGATCAAAGGCTCAGTCAGACCTTGGGGTATACTGATTTTATAGTTGTCGTGTCTGCCGATTATGTATCGAGCACAGTTGCTGAGGTATCTTTTTGTACTTTTCTGTCGCGGATGGGCCAGATTGAGAGGGGTGGTACGAGGGTGAGACTCGGTGTTGATGTCTAGATACACTGAAGACAGACCGCGGAGGTTGCACTTCAGAAGTGGCTGTTGGTTATGTACTTGATATTATCGCCGAGGTATCTTTTTGTACTTTTCTGTCGGGGATGGGCCAGATTGAGAGAGGTGGTACGAGGGTGAGACTCGGCGTTGATGTCTAGATACACTGAAGACAGACCGCGGAGGTTGCACTTCAGAAGTGGCCGTTGGTTATGTGCTTGATATTATCGCCGAGGTATCTTTTTGTATTTTTCTGCCGGGGATGGGCCAGATTAGGAAGGGCGGTACGAGGGTGGGACTTGGCGTTGGTGTTTTGGAACATCAAAGATGGACAGGGTTTTCGCGGAGGTCGCTCCTCAGATATCTCCACAACTACAGATCGGGGATCTTCCAAAATCAAGAAGATTGGTGCATATGGCTAGGTCTCTTCACCTTACAATTTGTATGGCAATTTGGCCCGGGGTTGTGGTGTGGTAGGGGGGAATGGGGGATAATCCCACGCAGGAGTTCCGAACGACGTCTGGTTCACGTTTGGCTGGATAACTCCACCACCACACGGGGTATGCGGTCGGCGATGGGGTCAAAATGCTCGTATGATCGAGGGCTTTTCGATGGATCTATCGGCGGGTTCTTATTCGAAAAATCGAGCGAGTTCGTGGTGGAGCGGTTGGAAAGATTTGTATTGATATCAGAAAGTTTCAATATCTGAATCTTTTTCTGATCAGAGTATTGCACTCAATGATCAATTGTCTGATGCAATTGAAGAGTCTGAACAGTCATCTCATATATTGAACTTTATCATATTCTAATATTCTGTATCATATTCAGTGATGTAACTGATTTGTTTATTTATTGAATATCATGAAATCATTGTTATTATTTAGAAGAGATACAAATTACATTAGCAATGTTTCAAATCTATGATATTTAAATTATTAGTCAATCTATTCAAAATTAACAGTAGCATTATCAAAAAGTGTTATTAAAAAGTAATATTAAAAAGTATTATCAAAAAACATTATCTTTTACAAAGTGAATATAAAAGTTACTTGAGTAATCACTTTCATCTCATTCTTATTTCAAGAATCAGTCATCTCATTATTCTTTGTCTCAATGTTAAGATTCTTTATCAGTGTTTACATCACAAGTTAAATCACATGAGTAATGCAGAGAATATGACCTTGTTTATCATTTCAGAAATGCAAAGTCAATTTTTACTTCAAGCTCTTCATTATAGTGTAGTTATTTACAGTATTATCAGTTATAATTACAAGAAGACTGAGACTAATATTTCAATAGTTATTTTTAATCACAGTTATTAATATCTCTGTTATATAATTCTCAGTATGACTACTAATCAATGATTTAAATCTAATTAATGTCTCTTGATAAGTTCAGTTCTCATCAATGTAATAACATGTAACTCTTATAAATGCAAGATTATTTGTACTAGTTCATGCATTCACTGTAAGAGACACTCTTCAATGATTCTTCAACTCTGATTCTAGATGTTGTATATTAACTTTGTAATGTGTCTCAAGATTGAACTGAAGACAGAATTGATGTGAAATATAAAGATTTAAATTAAGTATTTAAAGAAGTGTTCAGAATTCAGAGTTTTCAATTAATCAAAGAGAAAGATTCAGAGATATACACATACAAAGTAATTATTCACAGAAGTTATTAGATGAGAGTTGTGAAATCAGAGTACTGATACAGAGTTATTTTCATATAATTTTCTTCAAATTAGAAAGTTAGTATTATTAAAAATCATTATCTGATAGAGTAACTTACTAGCTCAGTAGTAATTTTCTGATTATTTTTCTTTTATTATCTATATTCTGATAACTTCAGATGTCAGAAAATTCCTTCAGAGTTATAATTAGTTTATAATAAATATTTTTAAATGAAGTTATAGTGATTGTAGTAAAGAGATAACTCTTCAGTAATCTGCAATACAATCTGTTGATAATTATTTCATAGTTCATCTCAATGTTTATGTTGAGTTTTTCATAAATTTCATGACCTGAAATCAGATGTGAAGAATGAAGTGATTATTCACTATAATTGAAAGAGAGTATTCTGTGTTATTATTATTATTATTATTATTCTTTCATTATACTCATATGCAAGCGGAGCTTATGATGAGTCCTTGCGTGATGTTAAATACAGGTCAAGTGTTGATTATACAGGAGGAAATACAGGTGTTGAGATCACGCCAAGATAATAAGAACATAGGAAAATACAAAGAAGTGACAATTAGATACATGCAATAATAACTTCCCAGCTCAGGAACATAGAGCAATTCATTGAAGCGATTTGTACACCTCTGTATTTATTAGAAACCTGAGGTGCTTGAGTTCTGGATTTAATGCATCCCCTGCGGGTTTCGAACCCACGCGCCTTGGTTTCCCACGCCAAGGTGCTACCGGGTGGCCGCATTAACCATTCGGCCACCGGGGCGAGTATTCTGTGTTGAATTGTAAACAATGTAGACTTTATAATTCACAGTGATTTCTTGAAGAGTTTATGAATCTTCAATAGAAGTAAAAGAAGTGAAAGAAGTAAATTCAGAAGATATGATAATAATTTGAGAAAGATGATAATTTATTTTCAATAACTGATCACTGATGTGTGTAAGAAGAATTAATATAAGAGAAAATAATCTTGTTTCTTAGCTTAGTTATAATTTTAGTACTAACTCAGATTGAATATCATTGATGTATAAAAGTAAATAAATAATCTTGATTAATCTCTGTCATATTTCTTGAAATATATTAATATTGTAAAAGAGAGTATTATTAAATTACATTATCAGATAATATTATTAAAAATATATTAATATTATAAATATCAATGTTGAAAAAAATGTTGATACTTATACATTATAGTAATTTGTGAATCATGATAGTTAAATATATATATATATATATATCATTCCTGACTTGATTACAACTTGTACAATAATTTTTGAAAACTCAAAATCAATTTTAATTATTAATAATTAAAAACTTAAACTTATAACTAACTAATATAAAAAGAAAAAAAATCTACTTCTTCTCTTTCTCATTCTTCTTATTATTCTTCATAATTCACTTCTTATTCTTCTTCTTCTTCTTCTTCTTCTTCTTCTTCTTCTTCTTATCTGAGATAATAATCATCTCAAAATCTCTCTTCACTATCTTCTCAGAGAAGAGTTTCTGCTGCTCTCTCTTAGCCAGGTTAATCTGTGTCTCAAAATCCTGTATTTTCTGATCTGTTGTCTCAGGTTTCATCTCAGTAGTAAGCAGATTGACATGCTCAGAGAGCAGGACTGTCTTCTTAATATTCTGAATCATGAAGCATATTTGAGACCTGAACAAGGCCTCAATTTCCTTCTTCTCTGCCAGCTTCTGCTAATCAATTAGAGAACAGAAGTATTATTAAAAATCATTATCTCTCAATAAAAAACTTACCAGTTTTGACTTCTTTGTCTCTTACTTTAATATCTTCTCAATCTTCTTCTGCTATTACTTATTTACAGTAACACTCTTCTTCTCTCTCTCTCTCTTTATCTTGATCTTAAATCATTCTTAAAACTTCTTCTGATCTTATCACTATTATATGAGACTCTTCACTGTCTTCTTTTTCAATCTCTCACAGATGATGTTATCTGCATTATTTCTATACTTAGTTCAGTCTAAATCTATCAGAAGTATTACTTAAAATTATTATTATTCTACTTTCTTACAGAGTCTCTTCAAGATATTATAATATATTTTACAATCTATCTCTCTGTACTTGAATACTTTCTTCTTCTCTCTCTTCAATCTGTGATAATACTCACATGTCTTAATAATTCACAGAACTGCAGAATATTTGAAGAGAGATGACATAATTAATTTTAATAAGTATTAAAGAGAGAGTGAAGATAGATAATAATATAATAATAATAATAATAGTGATGATAATAATAGTAATAGTGATGATAATAATGATAATAATGATGATAATAATGATGATGATGAAAGAGAAAGTGTATTGAAATATATTATTAACTTATCAAATATAAAGAGATAAAGAAACTATTAACAGCTTTCAGAGATATACAGAAACAGCTACAATGTTGCATAGCAACATTATCTTCATTCAATGCATGCACTATTGATATTCTTTGTATACATTTATCATATAATCTATATCAGAAATACATGCAGAAAACAGATCTTTGTTGCTAGAAAGAATGATTACAGCAATTCTCTGTTTTCATATTATAAAGATAAGTTATTCTCATTTCTTTCTTCTCTCTTTTCTCTTCTTCTTCAATTCATCACTAAGTTTAAGCTAGTATGAAAACTATTAAAACACTCATAGAAACTCTCAAATTGAAGAGTATAAACTAATTAAATTTTAAATGCAGATGAATTAAATTAATTCAATAATACTAATTATTTATTTTCTCTTTAATAAAACAACAGTCACATCTTCTCTCTCTCTCTCAAATGAAACATGACTCATGAAAAGTGAGTATCATATCAGACTATAATGATTAATACAGCCTCAGCATGCAGAGCTGTATACACACAGTGTGTGCTGAACTGAAAGACTGTATAAGTTGCAAACTGATAGCAGTATTTCAGAGAGAGCTGTGCAGTGTGAGAAAGCTGCAACTCTTGATCACATGTGCAGAGAATGAATTGCTACAGTAAGTGTATATGTATTGCATGAAAGTAACACTTTTTGATAACACTCAGTCTCTGATATCATGAAAATAGAGTCTCTCTGTGAGATTCATTTTTATCAGAAGTTAGAAAATCTTATATTTTTCAAGATCATCTTCACACACCTTATCTGTGAAATCAATGAGAGAAATCATCAATTCCAGTATTCTGTTCTTAATATTATTCAAGTGACAGCAGAGTTCACCCTGATCATACTTTTTAAATGTATATTTTCTAATTATTCACATTTATACAGATATATACTGATTATTTATTAGATAATATTAAGACAATGACTTATTACAGCTGTGTTACTCTCACTGTGAGAAATACACAGTTGATAATAAACATTGTAAAGACTCTGAAGAGTGAGTATTTTAGAGATACTGTGACTCTGTGATCTTGATTTTTTTTATTTTTATTTTTTATTTTTTTCTTTTTCTTTTATTTTTTTTTTTTATTTTGATTTTTTCTTGTATTTATTTTATTTTTTGTTTTTTATTTTTTTTTGTATTTTATATTTTTTTCATAATTAAAATTATATGAATTATAATCTGTGTTTAGAAAAGTAATAATATTTGATAACACTCTCTATTGAATTTTCAATAAATAAGCACTATATTATGATATTATGTAAGTGAGAAGTAATTTCATAATCTTATTTAATGCTATTCTCAATAATGAGATCAGAATGAAAATGTGACTAAGAATTCAAACATATTCTTTATCTGAAACTAGATTTTTATTTGAAAAGTGAATCTGAAACCTTTAATATTTAAAATAATGTGATTTGAAATTAATGTGATGAACACAAATCATAATCAGAAGTAATACTTTTAGATAACATGATAACTGTAAAGTTTGATTCTGATCTCAGACACGGTCACACGGTCAGTCTAAGTATGACAGAATATAAGAATCTCACTTCTATATAAGATCAGCAGATTACTCTTTCTTAATAATAAAATACTATTGAGATATTACTCTGACTATTCTTACTTATGAAATAAAAGAAGAGTATTCACTCATTATCTATATAGAATAACTAAATACTGACTTCTTATTAAAGAAGTCAGTGATTTGTTTTTCTTCTACTGAAAGATATATAAGAGTTACTGTATTTCTCATATAATCTTCTTAGTATACTAAGTATTATATCTGTGATATTCTTATAATAACTCTGTAGTCTACAAGCTTACTACTTAAGTAAGATAGTTAAGTTTACTTATACAGCTTCTCAATAACTATCTTTATATAACACTGCTGACTAGTTATTACTTCAGTTCTATTATATTATATACAGTTACAGATTCTATAATAAATAAGTCTGAACTCTCTCTATTATTCTAAATATATTAATACTTTATATAATTAATAATAGTCTTTTAAGTCTGTGAACAGTCTATTGAAACAGATATATTATCAGAAATTAAGTTTTATTACTATGAGATTTATAGTTCTGATATATCTTCATTGACAGCAGTCTGTAAAAAGAAAACTATTATTCAAAGAGCTTACTATATTATCAGATATTATAGAGAATATCTCTTATTAACTTTATTCTTAACTCAATTAAGAAAACAGCTGCAGTTATTATCTTTAATAATTAATTTATCTCTTAGTTCTATAGATCTCTCTTCAGTCTTTTATCAATTATCTATATTATCATTTAACTTATTCTCAAGTTAATCTTATTTCACTTTACAGATATGCTTTTACTACAGTTACAGTTCTATCTCTTCTATTAATAAGCTGTAAAATCAATCTTGCAAAGTCTTCTGTTTTGAGCTTAGCTCTGCAATGTCTTTGTACACAGAGGCTCGTGTGCATTAAGATATTTTAATAATTAGTTGGGTAGAGGTGAAGTAAAAACATTTCATTCATTCATGTACATGTACGTCTGAATAGCCATTGCATAACTGCTATCCAACTTTGTCTCCTTATCACGGGCACCCTGCCCCACGATGGACTGACTACGCATGCAGTTAATCCGAGTCCGACTGAACTCATGGCCACAGTCCTGGTTCCAAGCCAGCTGAAGTCCAGGAGACCGCCGTCACAATCCAATCCAGCTTCCACATGTTATAAAGGGAGCAAGAGAGTCCCATGACAGCACACCACTTGTCAACTTCCGGGAGCTACGGAGTTGAAGATACCTAGTATCTTCTTCCTATAGGCAGTAGAAATGAATGAAACCCGTAAAGAATACAGAAAGAGGCAGAGGACCGCCACTAGGAGGATTCTAAAGCACCTTGATAACTACCACCACCACGACCATCGCCATACAGAGCTGTAACAAGGGACAAGGCAAATGAGGAAAAGGAATCAAAAGCTCATAGATATACAGGGTTCCCACCCAAGCCAAACCGCCGGGTACGTTTAGATGCTTAAAACTTGGAACCCGTTCACTCCTTCATTCCGCTATTGCCATACGCCTTCTACACCTCCTACATCGGCTCAGCTGTCCCCAAAACGAGCAATTTTCAACTTGAATATGAACCCTGTTTACTGCCATGCTATGAGTAAAATGGTACAATTTTTCATTCCCAAGAGTCATCTAACCACTGCTCCAGCTGCTAAAGACCATAGAGAATTCAAAATATAACTGTATTCAAAAGATTTTCATCACATCATAAGATCATAATTCAGGCCATCAGCTAGCCATCGAGATATGTATGCGTATCCAGGTTTTTTGTAAAGCTCGAATGAAACGTTTCATTCTCTTTCTCTTCCCAGTAGAGGTAGGCCATGAAGCGAGCATAGAAATCTTCGTAAAGGGGCACTCTATTCTTGATCCCAAAGGTCCATGCGTTCAGCACCTCTAATGGATATACTGCATTTTCACCTTGGTACATATCCTGAATAAACTGCCACCAATATATTAGTATCCCACTTTTCCAAAATCTCTACACAAAAGAAAAGGGGGGGTTTAAGTGACATCTCTACATACGTTCCTCATCAACCAACGTCCTCTCCCTCCAACTCTCCTCCACCCACTCAACCCCAACAATATGCGGAATTTGCTTCCCAACCCCAGCCAGGGATGAAATCGCCCTCCTTATTTCAGCAACGTTTGTCACTAGCATGCCAGCCTTATCGCCGGAACTTTTGCTGTCGACTACAATATGCGTGATACGTGGATCCTTCATGTCACTGTCGTCCGTGATGGCTTCGCCGCCGGCGAACTCCACAAGGTTGGAAGCGAGCTGGAGGCGCTGTGCTAGGATATGTGGTTTTTTGCCTTTTTCGTCGTTGGACTTGGATGGAGGCGTGGCAAAGTATATGACTAGTCCTTTGAAAAGCCAGCCGGGGGATAATGGGTTGTTCGATACTGTTGCGGTTGGTGATTCTTGTTCATTCAGGCTGTGGGATTCGAGTTGGGATTCTAGTTGGGATATACTGGAAGGGGGTAGACCTGGCGCTGGGGCCATAGCGTCGAGGAGCTGTGGGGGGTGTTAGTTACATATTATTGTTTCTCCTTGTGAAGGGAGACGTTTATCTTTTACAAACGGGAAGACATGAATAAGGAATGGAATGACCTTTTTGAGTTCCGAGGCATCGATATCTCGAGCATAGCTATCGGAGTATTTATCGACGTTTCCGGCAATTTCTTCCTCTTGATCTACCGTTGTGAAGAACATGTGTCTTCCAGAGTTGATAAATTTCTGGTCAGGTAATATGTACGGCAGGAAACGAAAGAAGGAGAGCGGATATGAACTAACTTTGGTTCCAACGGAATAAGCAGGTCCGGAAGGCCATGATCCCTTTCGTTTTGTGATAAGCAGTCGAAGAGCCATGATGGCCGGATGACGTTCTCCTTCGCGTTCTTTTGAAGTGAAGCTACCTTAACAGTCCCTGGGATACGTTAACATAAGCCTTCCCGCATGCCATGTTCAGATTACATTATCATCTTCTACTTACTGCGATCAGCGATGCAAATTGTATTTTCTGCGGCTGTATTTGTCTGATATATCTTGCCGCCATTTGCTTTCACGAGTTGTTCAAGCTGCGCCTTGGTTTTCTTAGGCTGGTGAACCGATTCGGTCATGACAACTAATGAGCTTGTGAGCACATCATCCAAACGCAAGGAACTGGGGCCACCTACAAAAATTGAGTCCATTAAACAATTTCCCCGATGGACCCGCATATTTAGTCTTCTTGCCTCCGTCGTAACCGGCAACTGTCAAGGGCTTCTTCGTAGTTCTCCTATGCCGTAGCTTGCGAGAATCGTCAACCTTGAATTCCTTTTCTTTCACTTCCCTTTCGATATTTGACTTGAGGTCCATAAACTCCTGGATCGACAAGGCACTATGCCAGTCCTTATCCATGCGTAGCCTTTTAAAGCGCGGGAACCGCACCGTCAGGCCGAGGCGGAACTGGTCAGTTGGGGTAACTGATGAGGCCTTTACGCAGAGAACAACAGAATCTTCAGGCTTTATCCATACGTCAGGTCGTTCGTATTGTAGATCACCTCCAGCAAGTTCAATGTATTCAGTGGGGGGTCGTTTTGGATCCCAATCAATCCACTTCCCATCGGTATGATGGCGAATATTTGCATAATCAGCAGCAGTAAAACCTCCTCCAACTTTACAAAATGAATAGCATTTTGTAGGATGATCCCCCTTTTTGGCATGTGATTCATCTACTCTTAGTCCACATAGGAAACTTGATAGAGCGCCGCCTCGACGACCAGAGCCATAATATCCGCCAATTACGATGCAGTCGAGAGATTCACCAAACTCAGTCATATATTCGGGTTTAACCTTCATCCAGTCATCGTGACGTTCATTTAGACGGTATGGAGAGTTGGGGTTCTTCAGAACAAGGCCTTCAGATGCTTCGGCGACGACTTTCCGGAGTAAATGTTCGATATCAGCGGCACTGTGGCCAATTTCGTAAGTGTGAATTTCGAAACGGCGATGCACAGGAATAACGCTAGCTTCAAGTGCTCTTCTGCGGTCCTTCAACGTGTATCTCGTGAGTGGTTGGCCGTTTAGGAAAAGGATATCAAATATACGAAATAATGGCCTCTGCCCTGTCGAGAATGGATTCCTTTGCTCGGCTAGTGCGGCACTCTTGAGAGTCCCGAAAGGAACAATCGCATCATGCTCAGGGTCCCAGGTAATCATCTCTCCATCCAGGATGATGCTTTGAACACCATCCGCAAAGGCCTTCTGGAGATGTCTCGTGAGCGCCCCGTTCTCGTCAAAGAATCCATTACCGTACAGATACGTATATTCCTTGGCCTTTCGCGACCAGAATACAAACCTCTTCCCTCCAGGTATCGAATCGTCGGACTCCATATGGAGCTGCATACGTTCTCCGTCAAGCTTCTCCTCAATCCAAAAAGTTGGATCGTCTTCGGCCAGCCTCATCTTTTGGATCATACGTTCAAACGATTGCATTTGAAACTGAGCGAGCTGAGGCTGAAAACACTGCATCAGAGTGACCTTGGCTTCATCCCCTTCCAAGCGAATATCTGGGTTATAAAGCTCCCAGCAGACTCGGCGAAGACTGCTAGAAATACTAAACAATGCCTCTGCATCCGGGTGCCAGATATTGAAAAGTGTCCGTTCTGTGGCACCGACTTTCATTTGTCGTAGAATAATCCGGATAAGCCACATCAACTCCTCAGGGTTCATCATTCTGTAAAAATATGCAAGAATAGGCACCTGCTCATCTTCCTTTGAAGCTGCGGACAATTTATCTAGTTGCTCATTAACTTCTTCGATGGTCATGTCGCCCACCTCAGTCCTCAACGGCCTCTTTGATATGACTTCGAAACAGCGTCCGGCAAAGTCACCAGCCATTCTGCTCGCAAAACTCTGCCCGGGAACTTTCCAGTTCAATAAGCTAAACCCATCCTCGGAGTTCTTGTCGATTTTCATGACTTTCACCAGCAACTTGCCGATGGCTTTCTCCTTCAATCCATACATAGCTCGATCTCTGTCTTTCTCTGGAATGATCAAGCGAAATGCAGGAAATATATCGTCACCCACTTCTTTCTTCCATCGCGAAATGAACCTCTGAATTATGTCCCTTCGCCGCTCTTGTGGGCTTAGATGGACGGCAGCACCATGTCCATGAGGGCCGACCTTTCTTCGCGCAAGCGCCGGGCCGGTTGGACGCTTTTTGTTTTCATTGAGAGGGTTAAATAGGGTTAGGAATAAGTCATGAAATGGTAGGGTGGGTGAGTGGTTACGAGGGCGATTGGGATATCTAGGAAGGTGTTATCAGTCATTTTCAAGGGGTGCCTATTTTTATGTGTATTTAATGAGGCTTACCTCTCGTCCAGGTCAGCTTCGCCGTTCGGGTCTGCCTGTCGTAGACCGTCTGGTTCTTGTTCTCCATCCGAATCCATCCCGAAAACAAGAGAATAAATATAAAGGATATGTTGATGGTTGGGTTACAGAGTTTCTGGCAAGCATTGCCATGGAGCAATGACCGTGGACGACGGCGCCCTCTATATATACTCTGTACATGGTCTCCAGGCAGCACATCGCGAAGGTCGCGCCAACGCACGTGATCTGATGTCATCCACATGAATTCACAATTAATTGTCTCAGGAAAAACTTCAAATATATAAAATAACGGCACCTATTTGTTACGGGATGAAGATTAACTTTACCAGGGTGGATAGCAGCAGTAGACTAGATCATATTAGAACTGAATCTTGAAGAAGAAGAAGAAGAAGAAGAAGAAGAAGCTATCTAAGCTAGAGGTGAGCGGGTGGATATGAGATGGCGAGGCTTGTATGAGTCACCTGACCATGCCCTATGCCCTAAGATCCTTATATTCTGCCTTCTCACCTCCGCCGCAGGTCCTTCCTTCTGTGGTTAAAAATACATATATATATATGATGATACATTAATATTTGTGATTCATTGCTAGTGAGACAAGCCCTGCTCTAGTTACAGCTGATAAGAATTCATTGCTAGCAGAACAAGCCCTGCTCTAGTCACAGCCAGCAGAACAAGCTCTGTCTCAGAATTTCTAGCAGAACATACTCTGCTCTAGAAATTACAGTAGTGAGAACTCTCAGCCCTACTATATATTAGAATTATATGCTAGCAGGATGAGCTCTGCCCTAGGTTCAGTGCTGATTATTGTATTAGATCACTATGTTGATATTATTATAATCTGTGATATTGAACTTGAAATGAGAGAAGTATATCTACTTAACTGATTATTTCAGCTGATACACTGAGAATAATATTACTGAGTGAAGAAGACTGCAGTCAGTGTAAGTAGTACTTATAGAAGATCTTTATATGTGATTGAGTATTGATAAGATGAGTGAGATTTATTCACTCATTAAACTAAGATTCTTTTTCAAGTTAATATATGAGAAACTTGACTTTGTTTTCTCTTATAAGTTTCATATCTAAAATCTCATCAATATCATAGTCTTCATTCATATTATCTATCTCTGAGTGAATAATCTCTGAGAGTGTGTGATTGTTATTGATTTCTATAACTCTGTGAGATTCTAGAAGAGAGATATGAAAAACATTATATATACAGTATAATGAGAATAGTGATAGCTTGTAAGCTTGAGTGTCAATACATTTTTATACTGTGAAGAGTTCTAGAAACTTATGATTCAACTTCTTATTAAGATATCTTATTTTTATATTTTTATCATTGAGAAAGACTAAATCTTCTTCTTTGAATTCTTGAGAATTGTTACAGATATAGTAAGTCATGAGATCTTGAATATATAGTAGATAAGAGTAAGTCTCTTCTTGAGCTTCTCTGATTAGTATTATATGATATTCAGTATCTGAGTGATTCAGTTCTGAGACTGAGAAATTGAGTATAGTCAGTGATGATGAATGATGTTCTAGATTTATAAAAAAGAGTATAATATCTAGTGCTGAATAAACTGAATTGCTGTATACAAACTCTGCAAGAGTTAGAAGATTCATTCAGTTAATTTAAAGATAGTCTATATAAAGATAAATATAGATTTCTAACTCTCAGTTCTGTTTTTCTGTTTATTTATCAGTCTGTGAATAATATACTGTTGAAAGTCTGTGATCTGTGTTCAGAGTTTGTAAGAGAGTTTGTTAAAATTCTGAGATAAATAGATAATTTCTGTCTGAGATGAGAATAGTAGATATATTATATAGATAAACTATGTTATTAATGAAAAGATAAGTAAGTGTCTCTGAAGTAATATTAATGACTGTAGATATGTAGTATGACCTCTTTAATTATTTACAGATAATGATTAGAATAATATTAAAGATAGCTTCTGTTACTGTACAGAGTAATTTAGAAAGATCAATGATGAAGTTGAGTGTAACTGTATATCAGTTAACATTTGAAATAAGAACTGGTGTTAGCTCACTGTATATACAATGTGATATAGGTTTTACACACTTACATGTCTCACACTTCTTGCAATATTTATCAATTTCTTGATATATATGAGATCAATAGAATCAGTGTTGAATTAGACTGTATATTTAACAGAAATCAGAGTGATCAGTGATAAGAGCATCATGAAAGTATTCTAAAAGAAGTTACTTTATAAGAAGATGTTCAGAGACTACAATACAATTCTGATAGAAGAGCAGTTCATTCTCAATAGCTTAATTCTCTAGATAATTATAATTAGTAAGAGAGATAAGAGATTCAAGATTCTTTAGAAGATGTTAGTATATAATGTCTAGAAGTGAGCTGAGAGTGAGATCATTCTGAATATCTATAGCTATCAATATAGTAACTATTCTGACTTAATAAAGATAATCTTACAATCTGTTCAGAAAGTAATGAAAATTGTTATTAAGCTCTGTCAGCTTCTCTGACTTTGATCTGTAGTCTGAGTACTGATTAGAAGTATCTGTTAAGTTTTTATAATCTTTCTTATACTTAATAACAATGTCTAGCTCACTCAGATACTGTGTTCAGCAGATCTGATAATAACTGAGTACTTTAATTGTTAGAAAGAAAAGAAGATTATTATAATCACTATAAATAACTATTTCATGATAATTACTCTGTATAAAGTGACTTCAATATCTGATTAACTCTATAATAGTCAGCATTTTCTGATCATATATATTATAATTATATTCTACATTTGTCATTTTTCTGCTGTAGAATGTAACTGAGTGTAGATATTCATCTGCTTCTTTCTGTATAAGAATTTCACTTATAATATAGTCACTGATATCACAGAAGATTATGATTTCTAATTTATTAGAGTAGAAGATGAGAAGAGAGATCTTGATAAATTCATCTTTCAGCAGCTGAAAACTGAAGCCTTCAGTGTCTATTCATAGAAAGATCTTATTAGCTTTCAGTAGATTTATCATTGATAGAGTAACTTTACTATAGCAGTGTATGAAGTAGTGATAAAAGTTACAGAATCTCAGAAATTCACAGATATCTTGAATAGATTTAAAAGTGAGTCATGATACTATAGCTTCTACACACTTTGAGTTCATTCTTATGCTGTGATGATCAATTATATAGCTCACAAAGTCAATTTCTTTCTGTAGAAAGCAGTATTTAAAGAGGTTGTATATCAGCTGAGCCTGTCTGAATTTCTGAAGCATCTTTCAGACATGTTGTCAGTGAGTCTCTAAACTATCATCTTTTATGTATATGATAACATCATCTATGTAGACCACAGTAAATTTATCTATATATAAGAGAAGAACTGTCTGAATATACTGTTGAAAGTGACTGAGAGAGTTGCAGAGACTGAAGAAAATAACCAGATATTCATAATTTTCATAATATGTTTTAAAAGCTGTGAGATATTCATAACTCTCTGTAATTCATAGCAGATGAAAGATGTGAACCAGATCTAGCTTTATAACTTATTGAATTCTGTTAAATCTTTTCAGAAGCTCTGAAATTAGAGATATTATATATTAATTTTTGACTGTGATTGTATTTAGATTTCTGTAGTCAATATAAAATCTTTTAGAGCTGTTCTTCTTGAGAGTGAATAATACTGAAGATGCATGAGAGCTTTTACTAGACTGAATAAATTCTTATTTCAAATTCTCATCAATGTACTTCTTCAGAAGCTGTAGTTTCTTCTCACTCATATTATATAGTGAACTCTTCTTGAGAGTTTTATTATTTATCAAAGTTATCTTCATATCTGTATCTGAACATGGGGGAAGAGAGTTTGCTGTGAGTAGATGAAAAACATTCTGAAAATCCTCTAATTGAGGTAGCAGAGTGTCTGATACTGATTGTGTTAATTCAGAGAATTGTAATCAGGCTATGATGAGAATCATTTTCTCTCTAAGAGATTCTCATAATAGAATATCTTCTATATCTTATTAATATATCTGAAATCTGTTGAATATCTGACCTGTGTTTCAATGAATGTCGGGGTTCATGTTATATAGCCAGAGCATGCCTAGGATAAGAGATAAGACTATTGACATAGAGTGAAAGTAGTGTGTGATCAGCTGTCTGTCAGAGTTTGACAGAGTCAGTTTATAGATAAAGAGAGCTGTTTAATATAAGCAGTACTGTAAATTCTTCAGAGAGATCTCTGCTACTGATATTTTAACAGTATTTAATACTTCTATCACTTTTGAGATTATGATATTTGACTCTGTATCAGAGTTAACTAAGACTGAGAGAGTGACACAGCTGAGATATTTTATATTAGAAAGAGTGTTGAAGATATAATGTATAAAACATATCATGTTATTGAGAGCTGAGACAGTATTGAGAATTAATATATTATAGCAAATGATCTTCATGAATAAGATGTATTCATTAATCTGCTAAGTGAAGAGATTAACTTAAGACTTGTTTATACATGTGACTGTCTCTAGTAACATGCTGATTCATTTTTTAGTTTTGAAGAGAAGAATGAAGAGCATGTGACAGCACAATCTAAGAAGACTGTGTATGAGTAATTATTAATAATCATAGATATAGAGGTATTCTGACAGTTATAGATCTCTACAGATAAGTGTATAGAGACTGATATTAGATGAGTATAGCATTCTGCTATTCAGTGTCTTATTTATTCATATCAGATGCAGGCATCTTCACATTGATATTTTCAGTATTTATTATCTATAATGTTCAGATTCTTGTTGCTACTGTATAATAATCTGAAACAATCTCTGTTGACAGTGATATTAGAGATTGTATTATTTCATATAAAATCAAATTTAACTTAACAGTTCTATGAGATGAGTTAACATAATATGAAAATATAACTCTTTATTATTGTGACAGCCTTCTTTCATTCAGTGAAGAATACTGATCAAGTATTAAAATAGACTTGATTAATCTGATAAAGAATTAATGTTATCAACTTAGTACAGAATGTAATATATAGTATAGAATCATTTCATTTCAAGTCTGCTATAATAATCTTAAAGTCAGTAATAAAGTCTACAGCACATTGATTGTATTGCATATAAAGAGAGTTTATTCATAGCTCTGCAGTGAGAGCTGTGTTGATCTCTCAGTAGTTATCACAGAGTCATATCTTCAGAATATCTCAGATGATAATATACATATCATATTTTATTTATATTCACTGAACACATTAATAAATCTTAGAGCTAAGATAGCTGATACTGAAAGAGATTTTGAAGACTTCATTGATAATAAGACATTCACAGATATTATCATTCATATTTAGTAGTCAGAAACAGATGTCACTAGTCTTATCAAAGATATCTGATTCACACAATTTCATCTTAGTAATAATAATTATAAGTTGATGATGAATCAGAGCTGAGAGTATATCTTTCATATAAGTGATGACTTTCAGTATTTTCAAACATTAGATGAGTTGTGCATTGACATCAGTTATTTAATAGTTCTGAGTGATTAGTTCATTGACTTGATCTGTAAGAGCTTGAATTTGTGTGATTTGACTGAGTGCCATTTTTTTTTGCTGCAGAACACTGCATATGAAGATGTAGAAAAAAAAAATGCTGCAGATCTATGACTGATAGTGAGATGAGAAGATTCAGTAATGTTACAGAATGAAGATTAACTTTACCAGAGTGAATAGCAGCAGTAGACTAGATCATATTGAAACTGAATCTTGAAGAAGAAGAAGAAGAAGAAGAAGAAGAAGCTATCTAAGCTAGAGATGAGCGGGTGAATATGAGATGGCGAGGCTTGTGTGAGTCACCTGACCATGCCCTATGCCCTAAGATCCTTATACTATTCTATTGCATCAAATCATTATAACTGAGCACTTGTTATCCTTTGTCTTCTTTAAGTTTCGGGTTTTTTTTTTTTTTTTTTTTTTTTTTTTTTTTTTTTTTTTTTCCCTCTTTCCTCAGTGCTTTTATTTCGAAAGCACTCAGTCGATCCTTCATTCTTGTTACTTGTAAATAGAGCAGAGGAAGTAAATTATATTGGAGAGAAAAAAATCGCAGGTTATCATTGCGGAACAATGGTGGTAAAATTATTATTTAATACGGATGTTACGGGTGATCCAAAAATAATCCAACCTTGAAACTTCATGGAGATTACCCGATCTGGTATGGGATAGGGCTGAGAGGCCAGGCTAGCTGAGTTAACCAACGTCCCATCCTACCCCTGAACAACAATGCTCAATGCGACCTCCCAAGATAGCTTGACTGCTTCGACGGTATGGTATGATACGCTTGTCGAGTCCCTTCAGGCAGCATACAGCCTCACATAAGCAGTTACCTATTATAGCCCGTACAAACTTCTCAGTTTCAAGCAATCTAATATCAAATACCGTGGAGCGTTTCACATCGCGAATTCCTTCCGGTCGATCAAGTGCCGTGAAGCGCACATCAACAATTATGATGAGCCAGTAGAAAGATACATATTCAAGTTTTGGAACCGCCCAAGTATATAGAAAGAGAATATCATCGAGTACGCCCACCAATCAGATGCCCCCATGACGGACGACGATCTCAATCGCGACTTGGGCTCACGAGCAGGGTCTCAACGGCCCAAACAGCCACCTGCAGTCCCATCCAAACCCAATGTTCAATCCGCCGCTCTGCGTGGAGCGTCATTAGCCTTTGATGCGAATGGATCAGGCAAGCTCACAACAACACAATCTGCCAACAGCACGAGGAATTCGAGAAGGCTTGCCGCGATGGATCTGGGCCCCCATAGATTCGAAACACAGGATGACGATATGCAGCAGGATACATTCCCCCAAAGTTCTGCGGGGATAGTCGGGGACCGGATTAAACTGTTTAGCGAAGCTCAAGAGTCCACATTATCACAGACTGGATCCAATCGCGACTCAAACACATCTCGCCCAGGAACGGTTGGTCCCCAGCAGATCGCTGCCGAGCTGGCTGTAGGCAAATCTACAGCGCGGACTTCACCAGCAGTACCGGCTAGGGGAAATCGGGGACTTAGTTCACCAGTTCAGCAAAACGACCACAGCCAAGGTCTCTATGATGGACCATCTGCTTCAAGTATTTTACCGGATCTGATGAGCCGAAACGACTTCCTTGGTGGACAGAATAGCCCTACGAGGGCATCGCCAGTCGTTGCAGATAAGAACAAGCAGTCTAATGATCCTCGCGGGCTTCAGAATGTTGGCCCCGGGGGACCGGATGGCCTGCCAAGGAAGGAGCCTACGGGATCCTCTTTACCTTCCAGCTCAGTTAACAGGGAGATATCACAGCCATCACCGCAAGACCTACAAAAGAGGCCTTCTTTTTCTCCAGGCAACCATGGCCCTCCGTTACCACCAAGGCTGCCAATGGCTACTGCGAATAAACCCAGCCCATCACAACAAAAGATCCCAGCGAAGAATCTAGTTACCAAGGCCGCCATCACCATTGGAAACGAGCCAAATTCTGCCAACACAGCAAGACCTATGAGTATCCGTTCCGCGATTACAAACACCGGAGACCCAAGATCCCAATTGTTACCTTCCCGATCTTCCCGATCGAGCCTGCGACCCCATCATTCAGGGTTGTCTGAAAGTTCATTGGCTGGTGCTTTAGCAGCTTCATCTTTAGCATCCTCAAGAGCACCATCCCCGTCCAAAAAGACTCCTCCACCACCACCACCACATCGAGGTTCTCGCTCCCGCGCTTCACTAAACCCCCTACATAGCCCTCACAAGAATGAGTCTCGTACGTCCAGTCCCGCCAAGGGAATGAGACAAACGTTGCGCCAGGAACCAAAAAATGACGATGAAGCCAAACGGCTGAAAAAGTTCCACCGTCATCGTATAATCAAAACGCATCCAAACAAGCATCGTGAGGGCGATCGAAAACGGTGGCGAGATCGAATTACGGACCGCGAGCGGAAACGGTATGAAGGGGTATGGGCTGCGAACAGAGGCCTGTTGATTGATGAACGCAGCCTCCCTGGGGCCTCAGGGGCCCCGCTACGAGATATGGTGTTGAATCTCGTGGTGAAGGATATATGGTCCCGGAGCCGACTACAGCCCATCATCCTTGGGCAAATTTGGGATCTTGTCTGCCACGACAGTAGGAGGATGCTCACTCGCCAGGAATTCGTGGTGGGCATGTGGCTAGTCGACCAGTGTTTGAAAGGACGAAAGCTTCCAATTAACGTCTCCCAGAGTGTATGGGATAGTGTTCACATTCCCGGGACTAGCTAGATTCCGATACCTTTGATTTATTATTACATGTAACTATTCATAATGATGTATTCTTATGGGATGTAGTTCTGCAAAATAACCAATAATAGCAAGCTCGGGTCGGGTCGAGGAGTTCATAAAGAAATCTACGGGCTGTACTCCGTACACATCAATTTATGGATACTCTCAATGCCCGCGTCTCCTCTGCTCAAGCATGGTGCTCTCGAGCTGTTGTTGTTCACAAAAGCGTCCGCCATTTCAGAGAGTATAGAGCAAACCCCGGATCAGCCACATCGGGGTTTGCAGCACCCATGGCTTCGGCGCTGCTGAATAAGCCGGCAAACCGCCAACACATGACCGTGACCAACGCTAACATCGACCATACATACCATAACCACCCACAGTGCTTGCACAGGAAAAAACAGTATACATACGCTGTTCTTCTGATTCGAGGTTATTGCTTTTATCATCTCTACTGGCCTCAGTGTAGTCAGAATTCGCCGGGTATAGTTGGGCAGCGATTTGGCTTGCTTTCCAGGGGGGAGGAAAAGCTACAATTAATTGCATTGACTGCCATATCGTGTGCCTCTTAGCTCCTTGATGGATAGCGGCACCGGCAAGGACATGGTGATGGCTTCACTCCATGACCACCAGAATAGCCAGGCCCAATTTGAAAAAATCAAAAAGCAAACGGCGCGCAAGAAGTTTGCCAAACCGCCTGTCAAGGTAGCTTGTCTGTCCTGGTGAGTGTGTTCGTCCTCCTCTTGCACTTGGGGCATTTTGATCCAGCCCTTTTCAAAGTGTGGATGATGCATGTTTGCTTTTTTTTTTTTTTTTTTTTTTTTTTGCCCCCCCCCGCTCACACTTCATACGTTTGATGACCTTTGATGGACTCTCATGAATAACCCGAAATTCGCCATTAGCCGCGCTTCCAGAGTAAGATGCGATGGAAAAGAGACATGTTCAGGGGTATGTCCAATGTCCCTGCCCCCAGTCCCAGCGATGTATGGACAAGCAGAGCGGAAGCATTTTTTTTGCTAAACACTATTATTTTTAAACCCAGTGCGCCAGTAAGGGGAAAGAATGCAGCTATCTCCCTAGCAAACGGGGAGGCCCACGGAAAAAAAAAGTGGGACAGCCCTCGTCCCTGGGTTTGGAACCCCATGATAAGTCATGGGTGTCAACATTCCCTCTTACCCGCGTACATGAAGGTAAATGAGCACTATCTGATAGTTAACTATTATGTTTGCGTTTTTTTTTTTTTTTTTTACTTGTGGCCGGAAGACTAAAAGTACTTATCGACCTATCTTTATTAGCGGTGTTTGATCAATTCGACTCCCTTGCTGTGCCAGGAGCTGGATTGAGACATCTTGACTTTTCTCCGGAAGTCCAGTCGATGTTTGAAGATTTAATGGTACCTGCTAGTGGAGATGTATCGCGTGCTACGCTAGCTACAGAGCCCGTTCCCGTTAATATGCCTAGCCAGGATCCCTCACGGGTAAGGGTATACGGTAACGAACATGACATGTAGGTGTTTCCATGCCTTCCATGTAGGAATGATAGATGATACAGCGTTCACTCTTCTAGGCGCCATAGAAATTTTGCTAATCTGGTTTGCAGATTAAATGGATATTACATATTTATCCATCTATATTTTCCGATATTCCCTCCTGCACATGCTCCCATCGCAGTGGACCGCCCCCTGGATTCCCCAGGGAAATCTTCTAATCCAAAATTACAGGCCACAGAAACACCCTTGGGTTATATACCGAAGTCGCCCATAAGCCTTGCAATATCAGCCATTCTTGCACTCGTTCCCCATCCAAAAGACCCAAATCCTTCTTCACCAGAGTCAGTGCTCCTTCGAAGGTCGTATGCTCAGTGGTTTTCTAAAGCCTCCTTGGACAGCGTTGAGGCGGAATCCGATCTTGCGGAGTCCGCCGCCAACCCTTCTCAGGCCCTTCTCAATGAACATCCCGTCCCTAAACGACCATCGCTTCACCCGCACGTACCTGTTGAATTAGAAGCCGTTCTAGCACTTCTAATTCTTAGTGTTTACGAGTATGCCCAGCGAGGAAATCTTGTCAAAATGCGGCACCGTGCTGGTCAGGCTTTTGTTACGGCAATGAATATGTCGTTGCATGCGTTGCCACCTGAAGATAACATTTATTCTGAAGCGAAACGACGCGCTTGGTGGATGACCGTATGCAAAACTCTAGTCCCATGGAAGTTTATCATATCCATTGAACTAATATATATATGGCCCTGCAGTATTACAGCGTTTGCCAAGGTTCAATCGTGAGCACGACTGTAAGTTTTACTAAAGACGCTAGGATATATATTTTTCGAATGCTGTGGCTGAGATTTATCTTTCGATGAAAGCCTCCTACAATCATTCTCAACGACCCGCGATTTGTGACCCCGTTTCCGCGTTTTGCTTCGGACCCAGAGGTAAGATTAATTCATATTTTAATACCCAGGTCCGTGATCTAATTCATCTACCGTCTAGGGTTGGTCAATCCTAATGCGAGCCCAGCACGCTCTTGTTGCTGGGACTCAATTCATTCTTGATCTTAATCAAGCCCTAAAAGCCCGAGGCAACATGTCATATATATACGAGCGGATGAAAAAAGTTGACGCTTGGATTCGGCCCGTTTTGGCCCACGCCACGACTACCCCATCTATGCCTCCCTTGAATGGGATGACTGATTCTGAATCAATAACTGCGCAAAGTATCCGAAAAATATCCCTTCTCAAGCTTTCGAGGTAAGATCACTCCGTATAATTGCGCTCCTTTTTTTTAGTGTACATGAACAGCGGAACTGATGGTAACAGCGCCCACATCAAAACTCACCGTTTCCGTGCATTCTTGGATATCCCCATTTTTATCAAAAAACACTGCGACCTCACTTGCGCCAGCATAGGGTACCTAGGGCATGAGGCCGACGCACAAGGAAGCTCAAAGCTTTGCTGCGCTTCAACCAACTTATCTAATATTCCTACAATACCTCCGTCGGGTCAATCTCCATCCTCTTGCTCGACAACATCAGATGTCTCTGGCGCCACCACATCCTCCTCAACTTGGGTTAACGAGGATGCGTTTCCATTCACGAATCACGAATCAACGGAGATCTGTTTAAACTCCGCTCTCACCATCGCTCACATGTTCCGCACCCTCCCGTATCCGACCCCAATATACGATGATAAGGATCTAGTAAGTATCTCCCCAAGGTCGCGATCGCCTTCGGATGATCCTGCTTCCGCCCTTCCACGGACTATGCCTTCTTTTGCTTGCTGTGCCATGCAGAGCAGCTATGCCATGCTCATGCTTTATTATAAATCTCGAGTCATAGACCACACTAGCAGTGTAGAAGGAAACCCACTAAAACCCTCTGACGACTTAGCGGATGAGCTTCAGTATGGTTTGGAGTGTGTGATATCTGCCGTTAGAAACTATTCAATAGCGTTTGAGGCGCTGGATGGAATGAGAGGTTAGTAGTTTACACTTTTGTTGAGAGCTCCTTTGTTGGAATAAATCTAATCATTGCCCTCTTTTGGTCGTGCTAGACGAAATTGAAGGCGCTTTCATGACAGCTTTCCCGCAGCCATAATTAGCCCGCAGAGTTTCTTCGACTATCTTAAATCTAGTCTTCCCATCTCGGAAATCACGTCAAGCCTCTGCTCCCGCTCTCTGGCTATCGCGAACGACCAAGCGGGATGCTAAATTTGCAGCGGATACATTTCACTTATCTCCTCTCTCTCTCTCTTTCCTCTTTTTTTTTTCGCTCTCTCCTCACTTGCAGCGGATTTGAATGATTCCATGACCCACCCTCACTTTACGCCTGATTTCACATATATTTATTTCCAGGATATATTTCCCTTCATATACATAATCTTTCTGGATATGTTAGCCTCATTTTTCATCATACCCGCCAATTTTCTTCTTCCTTCTCCTTACCACCTCCCTTTTTTTTCGTCTTCATTTTCGTTTTTCACTTTTTTGTTTGGGATGTCGCCTGTCCATTTATTTAGGTTGGCCTAGAGGTCATATTTCTTCCCGGATACCTCTCTCCCTTGTATATTACACATCTTTCTGCCTTTTCTTTCTTGCAATTTTTCTCGTCTATATACCAATATCGTTAGTCGCCACAGTCCCTCAGTTAGCAATCAATGCATAATGCGTGGCGTATTTTTTTCGGACTTATTATACACCCTTGTTTCCCTTAACCCTAACACATTCCACGTAGCTTCTTCACTTTCTGACATGTTCCTCTGTAACTTATAAGATGCGTATTTGGTTACCGTTACTAAATTACATTATCTATTTACATTAGATCACATCACCATCCCCCCCCCCGCGTTGAACAGCTCGACAAAGGAATATCATATCCAAGACAGGCAGGAACCAGGACGGAATAAACGACACACATCAACAAGATAGTAGAACGTGTGCGTACACAGGACAAAATCTATCTATAATGCCGCTAAAGAAAGAAGCAGTGGGCAAATGAAGAATTCAGAAGAATAGAAAGCAGCGACATTCCAAACGCACCGCTTTTCCTGGGAAACGAGAACAACGCCATTCACTGACCACGCTGTAAAATAGATATAGACAGGAGAAGGTCAAAGAGGCATCGCTCAAAGCTTAGACCTAATCCCTTCAAGGCGAAACTTGACATCTTTCAGTACCTTGCTGGAAGGCTTCCAGTCGTCAAACAGCTTCAGGAGCTCCGAAGTTTCCTCGGATAATTCGCGTCGCACGTATTCTTCCTCCAGGACACCTCGCATGGCGAAAGGGAGGATGTATGGGTTTCCGTTTGGTGAACGGCTCGATGTGTTTATTTCTAGTTTGGCATTGGGAACGGGAAGCGTTTCGAGCGTGAACTCGATAGCGAGTCTGAAAGAAAACGAATTGTCAATAGATTGCACATTTTGCTGAGGGTATCTCATGTATTTTTTTTTTTTTTTTTTTTTTTTTTTTTTTTTTTTTGGCGCTTTGTTTGAAGAGAGGAGACTGTAAAATCTCACCGGTAAAGTGTTTCGTCGTCATATAAACGGGAATGGCCTTCGCCAGAATATAAACTTCCAGCAAGGGGAGAGCTAAGCTCCCGAATAAGCCCGTGATCAGATATTCCAAGGTTACGTAGTTTCATCGCGAAACCAACGAGTTGTGATAGGCTGTATGAAGGGGTGTTGTCAGAAAATGTTGCCTTTTTGACCGAGGATATAGATATTTTCTCACAAACTGGGAGCGTGGACTCTGCCATTCACAAAGACCGCTCGGTAAATATGGGGATGCGAAATAGTTGAAAAAATAGATGACTGGAATTGAATGAAATCAGCATTTTCTATGCTTCCCATATGCACAGCAACACTCCTACAAGAATGTACATACCTCTAATGACACCAGTTGATCATCTATGCTTCCCACATACACAATCTTCACGCCGAAGTCAAGAGCAGTTTCAAGCGCTGCCAAGTGGTCCTGTGAGACCTTGCTCTTTTGGTTCGCGAAATCGAATAATTCGCCAGCTGATCCACTAATCCAGCGAGATCGATACTCGGGAAATGGCCCTAGATTGACACCCGCCATGGCGCATATGCCAATATGTGCAGAGCTCACACAACCAAAAGCTATCAGCTTCGCAACCAGCATGGTCGCGACCGGAACACCCTGGCTATGGCACGCTACCAAGATGAAATCGGCCTTCTTGATATCATTGATATGATTGAGGAGCAATTTCCAAAGCAAATCTACACGTTCTGAGATGCGCCCCTCACCTTCAAGAGCTATTTTCTGGATTTCACACGAATATCCATGGGACTCCGTCCATGAGGAAATAGCCTTCGCTGCCATAGTTGAAAATTTGACGGATGTGCCTGTCGGTTGCCCAAGGACAGTGCGAATTAACGGTGCTGGAAATAATCCATGTACCCCGATCGCAAGCGCACGTTTCACACGTGGTGGGTCATTTGTCAGTGTTACATGGCGGGGTTCGGGGTAGTTGTAAGAGAAGAGCAAACTACCAAGTTGCCGAATAATACTAGGCCGCTCGGGTACAGGGAAGCTAGCCTTTAATGTGGGAAGCACCTGGTTAGGGAACGAAATCTTCGTTGTCGAAGCAGCAGGAGACCTTTCCTTCGTAGGTGCAGTGGTCTTTTTAATGCTTGAGTTGGGTTGTTGGCCGGGCAATACTGCTTCTGCTGGAGTTGGCGTCGCTACCTCAGGTTCCGAAACCCTAATCGACGCCGATGCCTGGTTTTGATATTCCGCAGTGCCAGTTGAATCCTCTGTTCGTTCTAGGTTCTTAGTGCTTGTCCCAGCAGGCCTTGTCTGTACCTCTCTGTACCAAAAGAACCAACTATATGACGATGCTGCCCTTGAAGGAGCGACTGTCATATCAACATTGCTGCTGTCCGATAGGAGTGCCTTGTGGTCGGTCTGCAGATCTATATCACTAGACTCTGCAGCGGGAGTTTGAGTGTCCGCACTTGTTCTACTCTCTTGCGCATGACTCTCATTTTGCCAGTTTTCCGCTTGTTGCGAGGAAGCGGATTTACCACCCCACAAGAACCAGGCTCGCTTTGTAGGAGCTGGGTCCTCAGGGGCAGTAGATTTTTGCTCAATTGTAATTGTAGGCTGTTCAGTATCATTTTGTTCGGTTTCTTCGTCTGCACGGGGTAACGGTTCATCTTTGTTAGATTGTATGGCTACTCCAGCAGCATTGGCCGACTGATCTGCTTGCCCTGGCTTCGGAGTGGATTCGCCGCCGATTCTTGGGAGCGGAATCCAACCAAGCCAGCCTGACGTCTGAGTAGGCTGTGTGTTTTGATTTGTTTTTTTATCTTGATTACTATCCGGAATGGTGTCCGCCGGATCACTGAGTTTCTTGGTAACTTTGCCGTTTTGGGCGTCTATCGAAACAGTCGGTAACATGGGCGCTGAGCCACCAGTTATACTATGCTGTGTGTCGCCTTCAACTTTTTTGTCGGATATCGACATATCCGGAACGGAAGCGGAGCCAATTGAAGCAATATTGATCCGTGTGGTGGCTACTTCCGCAGGCAGTGACCTCGTGGATCCTCCGATTTTCTTCGTAAGTCCGATGGAGGGCGGCCTAACAGGTCGACTTTGGTTATGAGGCGTTGAAACTGACGAGTTCCGCTCCGGCGTCAAAGCTGCTTCAGCAGAAATGCTCTCACGAGCAACTTCCGTGACCGCGGGTGCCTTGGGCTTGCGGGGCCAGGATGGGTTATACCAGGTCTAATCAATTACTCAAAAATTACCACAGAACTTCCTACACAACGTAGCAAAATCTGGCTTTCTTACCGTCCTATTATCATTTTTAATGTCTAGCGTTCGCGTCTCTGCGGAAGCGTCAGAGTCCACGGGGCCAGCCTGAGAGGCGGCTGCTGGCTCGCCGTTTTCGTCGTTTGGATTCACCCGCTTTCGCGGTCCCGCGGGCGCCATCGATAGGAGAGGGAACTCATAACACAGAAAACAGTCAATATGACAAGTAACTATTGCGGCAGTGTTGGGGTCGGCAAGGAGGGCGAGAAAAGAACCGTTGGAGGAGAGTCGTGGAAGCTGTTCGATCTGTTGTCTGTTGTCTGTTGCGCCGCATCGTGGCTCAGGAAGGGGCTTGGCGCGGAATGACCATGATGTAATATCATATGGATGTTTGCATTTGTCATGTGATCGGGCTTGAGGGCTGTGGCTGGAGCGAGATGTCTTGGCAGGCACCAGCCTCATCTGGAAAAAAACATCGGAAGAAATGCGGGAGAGCAACAACAGCAGCCACAACGGTCGAAAAACATACCGCAACGGCCAATTTGTTCGGCAGCACTGGTTGGATTCATGTTCCTGATTGTCTTCCAATCCCTGCAGTTTCGGTTTAATTGATCCGCCTAGCAAAGGTCAGCCATGGCCATCCAGAAGAAGGTAGGTATGCGAAAGCTCCTCGCGCATTCAGTTTTTGATCGCATTCTAACAGTCACTACTAGCATGGCAAAGGCCGCTTGGACAAGTGGTATAAGCTAGCAAAGGAGAAGGGCTATCGAGCTCGTGCTGCTTTCAAGTTGATCCAGCTTAACAAAAAGTATGGGTTCTTGGAGAAGAGCAGAGTTGTAATCGATCTTTGTGCTGCACCTGGCGTAAGTTCCTGTAACCATGCCCCTCCGGCTCCCTGTTGCTCCATGTATACTGATCAATGTTCCTGGACCATTGTAGTCGTGGTGTCAAGTTGCTGCAGAATGCATGCCCTCACAGTCTCTAATTATCGGCGTCGACCTGGCGCCCATAAAACCGATTCCCAAAGTCATTACTTTCCAGAGCGATATTACCACGGATAAATGTCGTGCTACGATACGTCAGCATCTTAAAACGTGGAAAGCAGATACTGTTCTCCATGATGGTGCACCAAACGTTGGTGTAGCGTGGGTTCAAGATGCTTTCTCTCAAGCAGAGCTCGTACTTCAGTCTCTGAAGCTCGCCACCGAATTCCTGGTTCCAGGAGGAACATTCGTTACCAAAGTCTTCAGGTCAAAAGATTATAATCCGTTATTGTGGGTATTTAAACAGCTTTTTAACAACGTGGAGGCCACAAAGCCCCCTTCGTCACGAAACGTTTCTGCCGAAATTTTCGTTGTCTGCCAAGGTTTCAAGGCCCCCAAACACATCGACCCAAAATTCCTTGATCCTAGACATGTCTTCGCCGAGTTGCAAGATCCTACTCCAAACCACGAGGCAAAAGTGTTTAATCCTGAGAAAAAGAAGCGGAAGCGAGATGGGTACGAGGAAGGAAATTACACTCAATTCAAAGAAATTCCCGTCAGCGAGTTCATAAACACGACTGATCCAATCTCAATTTTGGGAGAATACAACAAGTTGAGCTTTGAGCAGTCAACTGGTGGAGACCTTGCTTTGGCAACCCTCGCGCGACTTCCAGAAACCACAAAGGAAATTCAACTATGTTGCGAAGATCTCAAAGTTTTGGGGAAGAAAGAGTTCCGTAATTTGTTGAGATGGCGAATAAAAGTGCGGGAAAAGTTTGGATTAGCTGTGAAAAAAGGGCCTAGTAAACCAGATGAGAGCGAAGAGGTAGCTGAGGTAGAACCAATGGATGAGGAGCTTGCAATCCAACAGGATCTACAACGGATGCGGGACAAGGAGACGTCGAGGAAAAAGAAGGAACGAAGAAAGGAGAATGAGCGAAAACAAAAGGAAATAGTACGGATGCAGATGCATATGACAACCCCCATGGAGATCGGTATCGAACAATCTGGACCTATTGGAGAAGGCGCTATGTTTGCACTTAAGCCCGTTAACCGTGCCGGTGATGTAAGCCAAATAACAAGCGGCAAGATGGTGCCTGTTGAAAGTGACGATGAGGAGGACGATTCGTCAACCATTGATGAGGACTCAGATGAAGAGGAAGATCGGTTAGAGCGCGAGTTAGATTCCATGTACGAACGATACAGAGCTGATCGGGAGGATCGGGATGCAAAATTACGCGCCAAAAAAGCTCGCAAAGACTTTGAAACGGAGGAATGGGAAGGGATTTCTGATTCCGATAAAGAGGGTAGCGAGGATACAGATGGCGACGATACTAGGTTGCACGATGCAATTCCGCGACCTGCTGTTGATAGCAAGGGCTTGTCTAACAAAGCTGCGATGTTTTTCGATCAAGATATATTCCAGGGCTTAGGAGACCTGGGTGATGAAGATGAGGAAGATGAGGGAGGTGAGACAGGTTCTGAGGGAGAGACTGCAGCTCAGCAGCAAGAAAATGGAGCGGAAGATGATGAGTATTCTGATGTTTCTGAGAGCGACGATGATAATTCGGAGACCCAACAGCCCCCAAAGCTTGACAGGAAACAAACATCCGAGAAACGTGAATCCAAAAGTAAAATGAACCCGAAGGGAAATGATATATCCCCTGACTTTGAAG